AAATCAGAAAATTATATGAAATGTGCTATAGATATCGTTTTTTACTATTACAATAAAGAACCATATAACAACCAAACTCTTTTATAGTCTTTATCTTCATATATAACAAAACCGTAAAATTGTTATAAGCTGAAAATTATACGTTTGTATATTAAGGGTTCATGGTTAGTGTGTTAAGTGGTTGCAGGTTGTTAGGTGTATATACGGCCTCCTCACCGATTACGTTTTTTATAATAGTTGTTGTCAAAATTTGTTGTTTGATTGACATGTAAATATATTATTAGACAAAGTAAACGTATATATTATTTATTAGTAAACTCACCATCTCAACAAAAAAGAACCCCACCACAAACAGGATAAATAATTATGTTAACAAAGAGGATAAAATTCAAACGGGACAAATAATTATTTGCTAAAATTCTTGATATCTACAATTTACTAGTTATTTATTAATGAAATAAGATATAGCGTCGAAAATGTATATTATTTATTGGTATAATTTCATTTATTATCAATGTACGTCTACAAATGTACACGCACGAAACAGTGGACACAACTATTCTAGGACTTACTTATTTAAATCTAGAATGGTTTATAATCAGAATGCAATTAGCGGTTCTTTTTATTGAGACAACTACAAATGTTTCAATACTACTGTATGATGTTGTGTTGATGTATGACAGATAGAAACAAAGGCGGTGTCGCCGTATCAAAAAGGACGAGACAGTTGTACACGGTCCGGTAGCTTGCACATCCGGTGCACACCACACCCTACCATATGAGACCACTATATTTAAACATAAATAACTTTCAAATTATTACTAGAGACCCATTATGATTGTGTACTATAAAATGTCGCGTAAAGCAAAGGGGTGAACAATATTATTAATATTTAGCTAATGACCATTAGGTTAATCTGAAATAATGTATTCTTCAAATCAGGTTAGACATAATTCTCATTATTTCGTGTAATATTAGTGTACTTGTTACAAATAGTATATAGTTCATATTTACATTTTAATACATATTTTATATTTTTCACAATTACATTTAAGTAATGTTAACTTATTAGTAAATTCGTCTAAGAGTGTGTAGATGTGTTAGAAAATTTAATCTGTAGTATTATAAAATCTAGTGAGCAAAACAAAACCATCACATTATTTAATTGCAGAGAATTGAAGAAGAAGAAGGAAAATATGAAATTCAATTATTACCTGGTGAAAACTTCGTATTACACCATTATTTTACATTGTAAAAATTAAAAATTTTACAATGGCAGTTGATACCCACTACTTAATATTTTGCCAACAACACCTATTGAACCCGTTAGAGATTAACCGAAGTAGACTTTATAAAAAGTCGTCTGCATGGGTATGTGTACCTCAAACTCACCTTTTTCAGCAGTCATGCAGCATACTTTGTATGTTTGCTGTATTTCGGTAGAAAGGTCAGATTGTTCTATTCATGTACATCGCGACGGTAGCCTCTTACCATCAGGTGGACTATCAGCTTGTTTGCCAATCCAGTTTATAAAAAACGTAGCTAATTCTTTGAGAAAATGGACAATTTACTTAATGAGTTTACAATCTAGTTCATAGCAGTATAGAAGCAGACGTTTTACATCGGTCAAACCACTGAGTAGAAATGACATACCTATCATTATCCGTTCAATTACAGAGATGCATGTAGTGTTTACATGTTGGAAAACAGAACTGGATATACAACTTGCGACAATTATAGTTGTAATAAGGCGAGTAATAGGAAACACATAAACCCTGTTTTCATCAAATGTACTACTGGAGTAGTAGAAAGTACCTATTTAGTAGAAGTTATATAGAAATGGACGGTGAAGCCAGACCCGCTGTTTCATTCTTAAAATACAGAAATTATTTTATTTAAACGATAAATTTAAGAAGTTAAGAAAGAATAAGACTATAAAGTGTTACATATTCTTTTATACCCAAGTTGTGCGGAGGCTAGCGCAAAGTGCAATTCATAAGAGAAAGAATAAGTGAAGTAAAACCTGATTAATATTAAACTGTTTTGGCAATGTAATAGTGGGTAATATGTTCCGCGTAATTTGTAAATAAACTTATGTATTTATCACATTAATTTATATAAAGTACATATAAGGAATATATGTATTCTATTCTTAGCAATTTAATATCTACTTTACTATCGCTAAGTTAGCGATAGGTTGCTGTTTTATATAGAACTAGTCTTATCAGGTTTTCTAATGAATAAAGAGATGTAAAGTACATCTTAGGTTTCTAATACCTGAATTTCCGGTCGTTAGTTTGCAATGGTTAAGGGGAAGTATTGATCACAACCTGATGCATTTTCTACTAGGTTTCACTCAATAATAGATGGCATTATTATTATTCATCGTCATTCATCTATTTCAAGACCTTATTAAGGATCAGGAAGTTTAAAATACACGTATCATTTATATAACCGATGTCTACTGTCGATTTTTTAATTCGCGTAATAAAATGTGTACTGTATGAACTCTATCTATCTAATACAAAAGAAATAGTCATAATTAGTTGTTAAGCATATTTACTAATACAATTGTAAAGTTGGTTAACCCTGTTTACAGATAGATTTCAAACTCTGGTGGAAAGTTGAGTGCTTTTATATTTAATACAATAGCATCAACTAATCAAATGTTTTGATGTAATCCGGTGTTACTATAGTACATCTTTTTCATTAGAATATTCAATATTTATGACGGCATTCATAATTTAATATAATAAATATTTTATAAGGTACTTGAAAATAACTTAGAGCTTTTTTTATCTATGAGAGGTCATAATAAATTAATTGTTCATATTATTATTACAAATTGCAAAACAACTTTAATTGCATTTTGTATAGATATCTGCCTTACGACAGCAGATGGTCGGAAAATAGCAAGTCTATTTTCCGAGTTTTTCGTTAATGAATCTTGAAAGGTTTCATCTGATTACTAACCAAATCAAGTCTCAGACTGAAGGAGACATGCTTTCGCGGCGGTGGTGCGGCTGACATTGTTCCTTCGTAGAAGGCGGCCTCCTCAAGTCCATAGTCTGACTCGTTTTCTGCCCACTCCAGCTTCATGGCGCTGGGGCTGTAACAAATTAGCATTTTTAAAAAATCACATATATCTACAGGTACATCTTATTTTTCGGGATTTTTATAAAATGACAAAACCAACGTAAGATACACTTTATAAATAATTAATTCTTTATAGATTTGATTTCTAAATATCATCACCTATAGAAAGCCGCATTATCAAATTATTTCATTAATAAAACAAAATGTAGTTTTTACTATTATATAACTGTACCCGTGGAAAGCCGAGATTATTTTCTTTAGTAGTATTTGTGTATATTAACTTTTATGAAAAAAATATATGGATAAATAATATATTAATGATTTATGTATCTTTAGAATACGAATAACAACAAAACTAAAAAAAACTGAATCCTTATGTATGTGTACGCATCTATATGAAATCAACAATGACTCAATAGCAAATGACTATTAAGAATTAATTATAAGGACTACTTAAGAGAAATGAAAAGTAAAAAATATGTACATGAACATTCAGAAGCTTCTTTATATAGTAAAACTTCATAGCTCATCATGTTATAGACCATAGCATCTATGTACAGGCTACAATAGGGCTTCACTAACCGCAACCAAGAATGCTCTTAAATTACGAACTTGAAACGATATTGTTATTAAAGTCTATATTGCTGTCTAGCTTGTTTTGAACAAAAAAGTGAGCGATAGCGCTACTAGTTTTCGTGTCGAAAGCCAAGATCCGTTCCAGAATAGGGGATAAACCAGTTTTTCTTCTTCAAATGTATCAACTTGTTCTATGGGCGATTGTTTTTTATAAACTCCGTTGAAGGCTCGATTGATTTTCGCTTCTTGTCGATATTTGTAATTTATTTTGTTATCTAGCTAGATAGCTTCTGTTGGTCCGATATGTATTTATGTTTTGTGGTATAATTAGGCTGTTTTTTAATGATTTTTAATGTGTGTATGTGTGTTGTTTATTATCATCATTCACTCAATAACTTGGTCGTTTTGGAAAATAGCACTAACCAAATTTTTTTCTAGTGTAACCCGTATTAGATAACTTAAATTTATATTTTTAATTTTGCTTTAATCGTCGTGGTGTTTTATTACAACGGTAAAATTAAATTTCAATAAATTTTTGGTTATTAAAGCTTGTTTTTTTACATATGCCTTTATTAAGAATATTTACCTATATATAATTGTCAACATAAAATGAAATACAGATTATTTAAAACCATTTTATTACAAGCTATAATATATACCTAATTATTGAGTTCTAGTTAATTATCTGATATAATTATATAAATTACGTTTTATCTGCATTTCGATCGGATTACAACTGTAGCAGCTTATCACAGCGTGTGTGGCCTGCATTAGTTTGAAAGGTAAGTACTAATTGTAGGAAATATTGAGTAATATCCAAATATAGACGGAGTTGTGTGATAAATGATTAGCGAATTGTAATCAGTTTTAGTTTTACTGTTGTTTGTTGTGATATCAAATTGTATTATTATCATTTCTACGTAAAATAAATATACCATACATTACAGATAAGAGAATTATCAAACTAAGTACAATGAAAAATACCCAAAGCATTCTATTAGAAAAATAAATTCTCGGGGGAGCCTGTAACCCCTAAAGAACGCGTCCCCAGGTGGCGGATCGGGGAATGCTCGTTGGTGTTAGAAATAACACTAAAGGGTAAGAGGGAAATAAAATACCTCTCGCGGACCAACAGGAAACACCTCCGCAGGGCAACTTGGTAGTAGACCGAGAAAGGGCCTGTGAAGGGTAATGGCGTCAGGCAGGACGTCATGTCGGGGATGGCGGCGGAAGAACCCAACAGTCAACGGCGGCATCCCAAGCCCCAGTCAGCAAGAGGGGTTACTGTCTTGGCGTCAGGTGGCAACCGGCCGTAAAACTATAAGCCAATGTTCCTACTTCTGGTCATGAAAAGTACAAATAATAAGAGAATGGTAACTACTAGGGCGTACCCCTTAAGCGACGACACAAGTGAAGGAACTGCAGCAAATACTAGGGCGTACCCCCGAAGCGACGGCAATGTCATCAGAGCATCCACTCAAATACCAAAAATGCGCATCGCAAGCTGGAACGTGGGCTCGATGACAGGACGAAGCGCCGAGCTGAGCGAAGTACTACACCGCAGACGCATCAACATCTGTTGCATTCAAGAGACGAAATGGAGGGGGTCTAAATCGCGAAACATCGGGCATAATTTTAAACTTATCTACCACGGGATACGACCACAAAATGGAGTTGGAATTGTCGTAGATAAGGACCTTCAAGATCGCATAGTTGAGGTAAACAGAATAAGCGAGCGATTAATGTCAATTAAGTTCGCTCTTGATGACCAACCATGCATGAACATCATATGCGCTTATGCACCACAAGTCGGCTGCTCAGAAGCTGACAAAGAAATTTTTTGGAATGAGATAGGCGATCTGCTACAATCTATCCCGACAACAGAATCGAAATACATCGGCGGCGATCTAAACGGGCATGTTGGACGTACAACATCCATGTTCAAAAGAATACATGGCAACTGGGGATATGGCAATACGAACTCGGAAGGTGAGAGCATCCTGCAATTTGCATCAACACACGACCTTGCAATCGTCAACACGTTCTTCTCTAAACGCACCGAACATCTAATTACGTATAAAAGCGGCGACGCATGTACACAAATAGATTACATATTAACAGATCGGGCCCGGTTAAAGACTTTCAGGGACTGCAAAGTAATCCCCGGAGAACCGCTCACGTCACAACATCGTATTTTGGTCGCTGAATTTATAATGCCAAAACCAACAAAAGTGAAACAAGAGAAGATCTCGCGAATACGTTGGCACAAACTTGAGCGGGAGGAGGGACAGAAGATGTGTGAAGATATGGCAGAATACCTTGAGTCACAACAAGAGAATGCTACTAATGACATATGGAGTGACTTCCAATCCTTCTGCAACCAAAAAGCCAAACAATGGCTAGGGGTATCAAAAGGCCCCATATTTGGCAAAAAGGACACAAAATGGTGGCAAGAAGACATTAGGGAGATTTTGCATATCAAGAAAACCCTCTTCAAGCAATGGCAAACAACAAAAGATGAATCCGATCGCAAAGCATATAAGGACGCTAAGAAGAATGCAAAACGAGCCGTAGCACAAGCGAAGGCCATGTCAGATGATGACTTCTACGCCAAATTGGAAACAGCCACGAACGACAAAGAAATCTTCAGAGTAGCAAAACAGCGCCACAGAGACAGCAGGGATACAAAGACCATTAAATACATAAAAAACGAACAAGGCCTACTCCTCACATCAAACAAAGATATCAACGAACGATGGAGAGAGTATTACACTGAACTTCTTAACGAAACATTCCCAAGTGAAGATCTCTACGAAATACATGCTACCACAGATAACATAATATTACATACAGATACCCCATCCCATACAAGAAAATGGTTCCTTCCTAACTCGGGCTATTCTTCGGGCTATTTTATTTCGCCGCCGTAGCCGCTAGATGTCGCTAGATCTGAAGCAGTTCGGATTACTAGTGGGTGCTTAGTAACAAAGCATGAAAATAGATGGCAGTCAATTCAGCTACATGACATCTGTTTTGCAAAGATATGTATATAATAGATATGTAGGTTACTGTATCGTGTACATCATTAGGGACGATTCAAGATTCAATGTAAATGTGTAGGTATAATATCGTTAGCCGACACTGCAGATATGGCTTATGTGCCAATGTATATACCTATTATGTTATGGTTTATTTTACATTCCATGCCTATTTTTTTGATATGTTGTAACGCGTCTGCGCTATACGTATAGCCTGACTTTGATACGTTTATACTCGTACGTATCAAAATCGGGCTATACGTTTTTTTATTTCAATCGTTATATGTATGAGACTGATTTTAGCTACAATTAATTTACTGGTATATACCTCATGTATTCTACGATGTACCCCTCTTTTACCTAATGAGAATTCCGCTATATCTTATATTGTTGGATCGTCATAAAAATAATTAAAATAAGTTGTAAGACTATTGCGCTGCGTGCGGTATTCAACGACCAACTGCCGCCGGCCTCCCGTTGCCCAACCGCTACCGGGGTATCCGTTGCTTAGCAACGAGCCAACAGCGCGAGGCTACCGGCGGGTGCGCCGCTATATATATATATATCTACTTAGAGGTAGTGTATTACAATATATAAATTTTGTATCACAGTGTTAGTTGCCATATTTCTCCCATGATGAAAATTGATATGTATACTTGCCAGGTCTGAGGTAGGGTTGTTATCTATTTTTTATACCCCTAAGTCATAGGGGTGGCCTACCCCGAAAAAATATTTTTTTGTATTATGGACAATTTTTTTTTTATTTATAATGTTACATTGAAAATACATACACGCCTAAATTTTCACCCGTCTTTCACCAACCCTTATTTTTAATAGCGATATTCTTAAAAACATTATAAATGCTAAAGTAACTCAGTCTGTCTATTTGTCTCGCTTTCACGCCAAACATTCTGAATTACTCGTATATCTTTCAATATCTTTAGCGGTATAAACCAGGTTATGTACTACTACTAGTATTGTTAGTGAGGGATAAAGTTGATGAACAAAAATAAAACAATATTCGTATTAAAAATATATTCATCTAATATTTTTGGCATTATTTTTAAGTTTCTTCCAAATACAAGGGGTCTGACATGGGGTGTTATGTACCTACATTAAAAGATACTTTTTGACATGTATGAAATGTATGAAAGAAATGTATGTACCTACATTAAAATATAATTTTTGAAATGTATGAAAGTAATGTATGTACCTACATTAAAAGATAATTTTTGACATGTATGAAATGTATGTACCTACATTAAAATATAATTTTTGAAATGTATGAAATGTATGAAAGAAATGTATGTATGTACCTACATTAGAAGATAATTTTTGACATTTATGAAATGTATGTACCTACATTAAAATATAATTTTTGAAATGTATGAGATGTATGAAAAAAATGTATGTACCTACATAAAAAGTTCATTTTTGAAATGTATGAAATGTATGAAAGAAATGTATGTACCTACATTAAAAGATAATTTTTGACATGTATGAAATGTATGAAAGAAATGTATGTACCTACATTAAAAGATAATTTTTGACATGTATGAAATGTATGAAAGAAATGTATGTACCTACATTAAAATATAATTTTTGAAATGTATGAAAGTAATGTATGTACCTACATTAAAATATAATTTTTGAAATGTATGCACCGTACAATAACAATACACGTTAAACATCATACCACAGAGTCATACGCAAGTTAAAAACAAACTGCTATGATATTAATGAGAAAGGAAAATCAACTTTATGATATTCGAATTAGGATCGATTTCTCTCTTTTTTTAAATACTAATTTAATCTTACCAGTTGCCAGTATTCGAAGACAACTACGATTCGTACTCGATATTTTAAATTATTATGTAATCGATTTTTCAGTACAAATGCAAATAACCAACGACACTAATAATGTACTACTATATTCCGTTCTTTGAAACGGAACACTGCTATAATACAAAATAATGAAAAATTACTGTTCACAACGACTCATTAAAAGCATCATCGAATAATGCGTAATAAAATCCTGTTATCGATTATTAAAAAAAATCGATAATACATGTATTTATTTATAATATGACAACACTTCATACATAAGTATTATTGGAAATATTATTACTTGCTTGTTCGGCTATTTTTAATTTACTTAAAAAATTTTTATATGTTTAATTTACAATAATAATATATTAAGTGCTTATTATTGGAAAATATAAAAAAGACATTTAATTAGGCCGATACAAATGACGACAATGCCATCTATGAAAGCATTTTGAAAACATTGAGCCCCATATTAGCACTGATTAAAGTGTAATTAAGTACTGGAAAATAACAAAATGAGTAAATATATGAAAATTACTTTTCTAAACGCATTATTTCATTTTAACATGTATATATAACTTTTTAAAAATTGATTAAACATTTTTGAAAACACAGTTTTGTTTTTTAAAACGTTTGCAAAACTATGAAGAATTCCATCGATACCAATCACGCCATCTATATGCAACTTTTAGCAATAATAATGGCTACTTCCTCATTGAGTGCCACTGATGCTACGGAAGGCCCGATTCCATGCATATCACCCGAAGAGGTTCACTCGGCGATTAAACACATGGCTATGGGCCCGATGATATCCCTGTTGAACTGTGGAAGAAACTAGGAGGTACCGGTATAATGTTCCTGACAAAACTCTTCAACAGAATTCTCATTGACGGAATGCCCGATGACTGGAGAAGGAGTCTCCTGATCCCGTTTTATAAGAACAAGGGTGACATCAGACTGTGTGGAAACTACAGAGCTATAAAGCTCATATCACACTCCTTCAAAATATGGGAAAAAGTCATTAACAGCAGACTACTCCAGCTTACCAAAGTGACTGATAATCAATGTGGTTTCATCGCAGGAAGGTCAACTACTGATGCCATACATTCGATCAGAATTCTGATGGAAAAATATAGAGAAAGCCAAACCGATCTACACATGGTATTCATCGACTTGGAAAAAGCTTTCGACCGTGTACCAAGAGAGCTTATTTGGCATGCCCTGAGGGCACAAAAAGTACCGGAGCACTATATAATTTTGGTAAAGGACATGTACCACAACGTTAAAACTAAAGTGCGAAGCCCAGCTGGAATAAGTGATGAGTTCGATGTGACGGTCGGAGTCCATCAAGGTTCAGCATTAAGTCCCCTGCTCTTCAACCTCGTAATAAATTACCTCACGTCGGAATTACAGCGTTCTCCACCCTGGGATATTCTCTATGCTGATGACATCATACTCATCAGTGAAGATCCCAATAACCTACAGCAAAGGTTGGAAGAGTGGAGAGGAGCACTCGAAAGAGCTGGACTGCGAGTTAGTAGAGAGAAAACCGAGCACATGCACTGCAATTTCAGTGGCACCAACAGCAGAAACACCATTTATCTGCAGGATGCTCCAATAAAGGAAACCGACCGATTCAAATACCTCGGTTCGATTATATGTAGTGATGGGACAATAGATGCAGATATAACTCACCACATAAATACCGGGTGGATGAAATGGAGGGAGCTCTCTGGGGTACTCTGCGATAGAAGAATGCCCATTCGCACCAAGGGCAGAGTATATAAAGCGGCAGTGCGTGCGGCCATGACGTACGGCTCTGAATGCTGGGCGCTGAAAAAGCACCAAGAGCAGAAACTCAATGTCGCAGAAATGAGAATGCTAAGATGGGCTGGTGGCATAACAATGGTGGATCACATCAAAAACATCCACGTTCGAGGTAGTTTTAAGGTGACTCCCATACAGGAGAAGATATTAGAGAGCCGCCTAAGGTGGTACGGTCATGTCATGCGGCGACCATCAGACCACATGACAAGAACAGTGCTTGACATAAGTACCCAGCCCAGAAGACGCGGCAGACCCCGTCTCACATGGATGTCCGTTATTGAGAGGGATATAAAAAGCGCCAAAATAACATCCCAGACGACCCAGGACAGAACGTCCTGGCGAAGACTGACCAGACGGGCCGACCCCAAATAAATGGGACCAAGGCCAGGCTAAAGAAAGAAGAAGAAGATTCTATTAGAAAAATAAAGGATATTCAGATGTATTTAAAGAACCCTTCGAAACTTACTTATTAACTAAGTAACTATAGAAAAACAACTATTCTTTAATTTTAAATATGAATATTACAACAATAACTCGATCTTTTAATCTTAATAAAATCTAATAAAAACCACATTCTATCTGCTTCTTATCTAACGTACAGATTTCTTGATATTCAAATATGATATGTACTTATCAGGTATTTTCTGTACCTTAAGTACCTACGGATACATAATTTTAAATAAATGAGGATATTACAGCGTGGTTAAGTCAGTTTATATTACCCATTGTCAAAATAAAGAAACTGTATTTGTTTATTACATTTATTTTTATTTAATCATTATAAATATAGTTACTCGCACTAGTTCTTATGTCACCTCGCCCAGTTCCTCGTATCGTATCTACTAATATCGGATCAAAGCTATCGGCATTAGTTAACACTTTCATTTGTAACGAGTTGATCCGGCGGAAACTGTTCTCATAGGCACGTGTTACTGATATAACAGAGATTAAAAAAAATACTGAACTTTATTTCTTGTCTCAACAAGATCGAGATTATCTTGTCAGAACGGTGACCGGGCTCAAGTTTAGTAGAATTATTTAGGTGATACAGTAAATATGTCGTCGCATGAATTCGGCGCTTCTGAAGGTAAACGTAAAATTGCTGTCCAATATCCGGCGGATACGCTCGCGCGACTATACTCCCCTAATAATTGAAAAGGAGTGACGATTTGTCGCTCGTTTACATTATGTTAAGGGCGAGTTTATTGTTTTAATTGTGATCATATGTGTTTAATTAAAATACAATTAGCTCAGATATTCCTTGAAATATTAATTACATGGATCTTATGCTTTCACATTATGAGTATGTAATCAGTCTCTAATTAATATTAGCAAACTATTAAAAGATATTTCATTGTTTGTCTTTGTTTCAATTATTTATTATTAAGCAGTACAAAACATATATATATATATATATAAATGAGCAAAAATGAAAATTGCGATTCAATTTTGAATTTATATTTTTTACGCACATATCGTAATTTGAAACAGTATTAGGTATATATTGTTTACATTGTTTTGTATCTATTCGCAACATACCTGTTATCACTCTAGATACTTCAACTGTAACAAGCGATAATCCTTAATATAAGTCGACACAAAGTAGCTAAAATAAACGATTTATGTTCTGTGTTTTGTATTATAAAACTCACTCAACTATACAACTGTTTCCAATGTATTGATATATTTAATTTTGATTTTAAACGGTCAAATTCACAGATCACTTAATAGGTACCTATTATATGACGAATTAGGTATATCACGTGGACGGAAAAAACCTGACAATTCTATTACACATTATTACGAACTTATGTAGATAAGATATAACTGCGACTATAAGTCTACCTTTTGGTATCACACGGCAAACCGGATCGCGTTAGTAATGTTCCTAATACTTTTTCACTGTTCCAGGAAGCGTGGCCACCGTCATGCATGCACACTGATCACAGTAACGACACCAATTGAATAATTCAACATGTGCCTACCTATTGCAAACTTACCCAAAATATCAGACGCTATCTTATCGCGGAATGATTAATATTATCTGATACGTCATGGCGATATAAAAACACTCGGTCTGTTAATGGCAATTCTTTGATTTATCATCGGCCAAGGGTAAGGTAAAAGGCTTTAAATCAAGGGTCAAGTATTAAAAAGTTGGTAAATTTAGTAGTATTCGCCAAAAAAAATTGTAGTATCAAATAAAAATGAATATAATCTCTAGTGTGATAAACATACTAGTAAGTAGGTATGTCTCTTGAATAATGTATTTATTTATTCTACCGCCATATTTGGATTGTAGATTCAACCATGAGCAAGAAAGGCTGTTACTCTTATCAAACAATATTAGATTTTTAAAATTTTGTTAGAAATTAACTTCTAAATATCATATACATAAGACTCAAATGAATAGAATAATATTTACAATGTAATGTAAATCATATCAAAAATAATGTGTCATGTATGTTGAATGAACATAGAGGTTCATATACATAATTGTATTTGAGTAATAAATTCTGTCATTGTTAAAAAAATATATTGATAGATTAAAAGTTACGTTTAACATCATGTTCGTATTTTATTAAGAATATCCATTAAAATCTAGATCATTTTCACTCGGAATATCTCCCAATTCAACAGGTTATGGGCTAATAACTACAAATAATATAAAATATATTAATATTTACATAAAATATAATAATTAAAATTAAAAACATTAAAAATGGCGAGATCGGGTGATAGTAACGAAGACCACATAACAAGACTAGTTAGATAATGAATCGTATAATATCTGGAAGTTCGAGATAAAAATAATACTAAAAGCCAAAGGATTATTTGAAATAATAGCAAGCAATAATGAATTGAAAAAAGATGGCGACTGGGAAAGAAAAGATGCTCAAGCTCAGGCTATTATAATTACATCTATTGATAAAAAACATGTACAACACTTATTAAATTGTGAAAATGCAAAAGATATGTTCGACAATCTCTGTAGTTTATATGATGGTTCAGAAGAACGTAATAAATGTCAAATCTTACAAGAATTCTTCAACTATAAATATCGACCTAGTCATAACATTGATGAATATCTGTCAGAAATAGAAAATCTCACTTTTAGACTAAAAAAACTTGGACAAAAATTGGATGACGAAGTTATAACATCAAAAATATTAAGTTCATTACCAGACAACTACTCATATTTTATTACTGCATGGGAATCAACACAAACAGATGAAAAGACCCTTAAAAACCTAAAAAGTCGACTTTTAACGGAAGAAAATAGGCTGAATAAAACTGAATATATGAATACAACTACTACTGCTTTTAAGACGCAGAAAGTTGTAAAATGTCTAAATTGTAATCGCATGGGTCATAATGCGAAGCAATGTAGAACAAAACCATGTTCTATTTGTAAAAAGACAAATCACATAGAAGCTAATTGCTATTTTCGGAAATACCACATTCAAAAGAAGAACAACTATAGTATAGATAAAAAACAATTTGTAAATAAATATCAAAAGGATAACAAACACGTTACCTTTCTATCAAAAGAAATATCAAATGATCAGAAAAGCATACAATTTATAGTGGATTCGGGTTGTTCAATTCACATGATAAACAACCGAGATACACTACATGATTTTCAAGAAATTCAATCTGAGATCAGTGTTGCTAAAAATGATGAAACTATGATGGCACGGGGTCAAGGTATAATAATTGGTCGAGATATAATACTGCAAAAAGTTTTGTTCGTACCCAGTTTAACTCAAAATCTTCTATCTGTAAACAATATAACAAATAATGGCGGTGAAGTGAATTTCTCAGATCAGTCTGTAATTATTACTAAAGATTCTGAAACAATCCTACACGGTAAAAGAACAGCAGAAGGATTATATGTCATAAATTTAGAAACATTTATTGACAGAAAAGATATGTCACTATATACAACAAAGAAAGACAACACAAGTATGTGGCATTTTAAAATGGGACATCCGTCAAATGAATCTTTGTTAAAATTATCAAAATTGGCAACTGGTATAAACATAGATGAAAAATTTTTAACCAACTTTAAATGTGAAATTTGTATTATGGCGAAACAAACTCGAAAACCATTTTATTCTATCCAATGAACATTATGTATAAAATAAAAAAAAATTGCAGCCTGTTTGAAAAGAGAATATATGAAAATATTAAATACATGCAATAGGGAAATTTTGTACAGTACCTCAGTTCTCAATTATCATTGACACAAAAGCATAGGTACATATTTCTTTATCTTTACATATAATAAAATCATAAAATCGTGACGAGGAGAAAACTGCCTGGAAAATTTTTATTTATTATTGTCGTTTAATTATCGTCAATAGAAGTCGGCTCAATATACTAGTTTCGGACACAGCTTATTTATAAAGAGAGGAATCATTATCAGTATGTTAAAAAAAACCTGTATAGATATATCTGCGGATAATATGAAAAGTACCCTGTACTTGGGTAATTAAGTAAAACTTAGAGTTTCTATTTAATTTTATAAAATATGTGGTGTCGATAATTGCAAAGATTTTAATGGGTTACATCGAATCGTTCAGTCAACATATGGTAATTAGATAAGGTTCCCGACCTACGGAACATGAGACTAGCAACATCTTTGCACGCGATTTTGCATGTCTGTGTAATGTCTTCGACATCGCATGTGGTATAATCGGCTTATTAATGCCTGAAGTGAAAGCATTTCAATCCCAGTGCAGTAATATGATTCTTGGAATGTCTTATACTCTCTGAATCTCTTACATTATTTATTAAATAATTTAATATAATATCTTGGACTTTATTAAAATAACGTTGATATAATTCAATAATGTTATTAATATAATTGAGGATTTAAGATACAATACAATTATATTAAGTCTCAAAATGTTACAGTTTGTTATTTCGGGTCTCTTACAATCTCTATTTTGAAACTTCCTTCGATAAAATGACATGTTGATGACATGACGTGACAGTGTACATAACATATGTAACTTCACATCTGAACACCATATTTAGCATTACAACATATTATTAATACAGTTGGCAGGTAAAATGGCAAAAAGATTCACCAAACCAAGTATAAATTGGACAGAATTAGAGAAACGGGTATCACCTGATCAGAAGGGCAAATTTTTAGCCTTCAAAGCAAAATCAGTTAGTTATTTGCGGCGGTAAATATACATTATTTTACGAGTTAGCGTACATTAGGAATATACGTTGCAAAAGTTGAATCATTCTATGAGGATACTGTTTAATTCTGATTTGAAAACTATTATGCATATTACTTAATAATTAATCAATACTTAGTGCCATTCAATTGACATGTAAGGACTATACAAAATCGACATATAACTCTACATACCATATAGTTAACTTCGAATTTCGTTTGGCGAAAGTAGCTTCATAAACTAGATAATTTAGAATGTAGGTACTAAGTTGGGATGTTGTGATAAGGTGATTTTGTACATGAAGACGTATCAAATAATACATAGTGGTAATTAACCATATAACATCTAATTGTATTATATACTTTAGTGTTGAAGAAAATCCATCTGAACCTCCAAAAATAAATTGGGCAGAGTACCAGAAATTAGTACCAGTTAAGGGACTAGTTGATAAATTGAAGTCACAGTACGACGCATTCAAGGTGCCAGTACCCGAAGACACACTTTCTAATTCTGTGGATGAGCAATGGAAGTCACTGGAGCCAGAAATTAAAGATTTTTGTGCTGAACTACAAAAACAGATTGAAGGGTAAATTTGCATATATTTATTAATATTCTTCATCAATATAGATTGCGTCTGCAGTTGCTACGGTGGCATAGTATCTTGTATTAAATTCAAACTTTATATTTTATGTAGGGTACGTCTATTAGTTATATAACAAATCTCTTATCAGTAAGATCATAAAGAATGCCTGTAAAAAAAGGAATTCTTTTACATTTTTTAACAGAGCAAATAAGGAATTAGCAAGAATTAAAGCGTTACCGAAATTTGAAGATATGACCATGGAAATGTATGCCGAAATATTTCCTGATCAGGCTTTGGATCCAATAAATCGGCCGACTTTTTGGCCTCATGACCCAGAAGACCAAATTGGTTACAAACCACTCCCAAAAAAACAAGAGCAGATCGCGAAAGGGAATAAATGAATCTGTTATATTATGGGAAAAAAATTTAAGTAAAGTTTGACCGCTGATAATAAATCCTTGTTATAATGTTATAAGTATCATAGCACATATAAAATAATACTACATAATAATTTATCATGAAAATTATACCATAGGAATTAATTGACGAGCTTTTTGGGATACGAGTTTCAGCCATAATATAAGCTTTATAAGCATTTTCTATATTAGACTATTATAACTACAGTAATCAACAGTTTTCTTCTTGCACTGGTACATATATTTTAAAGATGTCTGGAAAGTGTTTATTGCGATAGCTAAGTTTCCAGAATACAAAACATAGGTTTTATAGATTAAAATAAAACTTCACACTGCTACTGAAACAACAGACTGAATGTTATTGATTGAAGATTAGGAGGTATTAATGAATAGCTGGTCTTTCATTCTCGTTCTTTCTTACTGCTCGAATGGAACGTTTATTTAGCAAACTGCACAGAACGTTGTGCAAGTGTGCAAATCCAAACATCGCTTGAATTATCGTCAATGGGCATTACAGAAGGGCTGCTGTACTATATTTAGCATCTTGTTCAGGGTCGACGCGACATAAGCCAAGAACTCGCGCGTGGCAAATTATGATTGATGATTTTAGATGGACTTATTTCAGGTTTTATTTTTATATTCTGTAACTAGAGAGAGCATCTAAACATTTAATTTATTAGAATAGATAGTATTTGATTTGAATTTTATACATTCCTTTATAAGACCGTTTAAGATTGCAGTAAAATTAGAATAAGACTAATTGTCAAATATATGTAATAAGTAGATTTCATTGTAATATTAAACATTTCGATTTTTGGAAGGTTGGGAACAATATCACATATTACACAAAAATGTATTGGAAAGTGTATATAAGTGTATCTACTCTGTTTTGATGTCTGTTGCGTAATTTAGCTTTGGATCGACAGTTCGCCAGACGTCTCATGCCCTTCCCTTTCCTGGAACACTGTTGCAAACTAAGTCGATATTGTTATGGCTAATATGTTTCTTTCTTTAATTAATGAATTCATAACACAAAAGGATTGAAGAAGAATTATTATTCATTGATTAATTAAAATTAATTAGCTGTTCAGGATTGTATGTATAAGCGGATAGTTGCTGCCATTAGGTGTCCCGGCAGCTTGTTTTTCAGTGCAGCGGTGGTTCAAGGGTGAGTGAGAAGGCAGTGAGGGATAACATCATAATCCAATACACATCATGACAATGTCCGTATAGACAACGGTTACCTTACCATCAGGGGAGTCATCAGCTTGTTCGCTATTCGAATTACATAAATTTAACGACTCTTACAATGACTACATTAGTCATTTAGAAGTAGTAAATATATGAATCGTTGTCGCACACCTAATTACACTAGCAATGACTATCAAGGTTAATCATTACTATCTTGATGAATATTGTAGGCCCACAATTTATATGTACACACTAATCATTAGTTATGCAAATTAATTCTAATTGGGAAAGCAGAGAAAGCGTTTTCACCATGTGGCGAGCAAAGCTTATAACTAATGTATTAGGGTAGTTCAGAGTTCATGTTGACCGCACGTGGGTTGACGATAGGGTTGGCCCTGGAACGTTTCTTAGAATGTTTAAATTTTATCTTTTATCAACTCTGGTGGTCTAGCAGTTTAGCCATTCATGATTATATGTTTGTTATCAATCATTATCAGTTTAATAATAAATATCTGCACATAGTACAAGCTCTGCTTAGTTTTTAACTAGATTACATTGAGTGAATTGTCTAGGACTATTATTACAATATCTTATGATCTGCTAATTAATCAGTTACTCATTGGTGTAGGTATTTAATCAAATATTATTATCAATAAGTAATCACTTTTGAATTATGATTCGAGTCTGAATAAAATTATTTTCATACTGAAACAGTCATTTTCATACGTGTCTTGTGAATCGAATGTCTCATTAATAGTCAGTTTTCATTGACATCATTAAAGTCATTTTCAAGACATTTTTGCATTAGAAGTAAAGCTCGAGAAATAAAATTAGGCCAACACTAGCTTGAGTGAAGTATCGTAGAAAAGCGGTATGTTTGTTTATTTTCAGAATACGATAAAAAATGTCAAATTACGGCAACTTATTGTTAATACTTGAAGAATGTTATAGGTATAGATATTTACAGCAGGTAGAGCACGTGACAAATCAGGTCAAGTATCTGACTGGACATTTTTATAATATATACCAATATCAATACCTGCACTCTATAGTAGGAAATATAAGTTTAAATGATTGAACTCGAAACTACAGGACCTATATAACTACAGGCTACGCTTATTTATTATATTGGAACCAGTAAAATATCAACAATATAAGCAAACGCGTAAATCAATGTCCACTTGGGAGAAGGTGTAGTTATGTACAAAGAGAGAGAAAAAAAGAAAGAATTGTTGAGAAAAGTGAAATACGGAAACTACCGATTTAAAAAAGATATTCACTATTTGGAAAGTACAATATTCCAGAGTATGACCGATTATACATTATATTATTAATTAATATATATATAAAGCTCACAAAGTTATAATTATATATATCGGCTTAGTTGCACTGTTCCAGGGCGAAACTGGGGCGGGCCACTAGTTCTAGAATATTCACTTACACGTCAAATACTAGATAGATTATATACGAATTATTCAACTAACATAAAGAAGAAATGATTTTGACATATAATGTCATGTTCACAACCAAGTAGGTTCTAATATAAATGTAAAAAAATCTAAGTTTATTGTTCTGTTAGTGATTTTATTACCAGCCCTATGAAGGGTGAAACCACCTGTTACTGCACTGGTCTATATTTAGCTCCTTCCCGCTCAACCCATTCATAACTATGTGACTAATGTTTGAAACAAAAGTTGTGAATGGTATGCAGAGGTTTAAATAATTTTTCGTTTTAAAATCTTAATGGCACATAAAATTAACTATTTAGGAATATACGAGTAGTACAACAATTTCTACTATTATACTCCAAACTGAGGATATAAAATATCAAATCATTTATAATAGTAATTATCGAATAATTTTATAATTTGTTGTCATGGTAAAGACAAATCTGTCAAAAATTTATAACAATACTTCTAAATTAGTAAATAGCATAAAATCGTAAAAAGTTTGCATATTGTCGACTATTTGAAATAATCTATTGTTATCACATTATTAAAATCGATTGTAATGAATCCATTATTATTTGCAAAAAGCAACAAAACATTATTAGCGTTGATTTATCAACAAAAATGTACGCACTGTTGTTACATTATTATTGTTTTTATTGCTAATAATTAGTCGTTTATCTTAATTATTTAGATATATGTTAAATATATCTTAGAATTTACAAGCAAATACTTGAAATACTTATTTATATTGATATTGCATTGCTTTGGAGATAAAAACCTTGGCCCGCCAATCTACTAGTACAACTCTACACCCACTCGAGCCACAGTAATATACGTAGAAACGCATTATATTTACATAAATATTTTGTAATAGATACCTACCAGCGATGCGACAACAAAACAATTTGATACCTCATCTATCTACATCCACCTAGTGAAAATAGTGAATCCACTAGTAAAGTGTACTTGATTTACGAAATTGCTTTAAGAGGCTGTATTTGAGTGCTTTTACCCTATCATTGGATAATAACGATAAAATAATTCAAACTGCTGTTACTGTGGCGAATGATGTGGCGTGTGAAATTTGCGTCGGGTTTAGGCTACAAGATACCACATTTTACCGTTAGTTTAGTCTAACGTCTATCAGATTATAGATCTATACCAAATAGAGTTTATTAAACTATCTATGAATATGTAAATAAATATAGATGAAGCAAACGAATTACGAATCGAAATTGGAGAATTTGGCGTACTACTTCTTAACCTACCCCAATTGCGTGAAGTGCGTGAGACGTGCGTGTATGTAAGTAGGTATCTTGTTGAAACAAAAATATGCAAAATAGTCAAGAAAATGATTTAACAGGAGTACATAGAAATACAGAATAATAAAAGGAACATGTTCTGTCGGTTAAAATGTATAAGTTAGCAATCATAACACTTCAGTACCTTCTTAAATAACAGGTCCTTACCTATAGGTTAATTCTGATGAATTTACTAGCTGCCATTATGAGAATGTAAACTTTAGCAAATAAACAATTTAACGTTCAAGCACTTTGGCTCTCGTGTGGTGTTTTATTCTCGGAATTTGAACACTGGGCTTCTGTTCGTTGATAATGTAAGTACACTACATGCATAAAAACAATATTATCTGAATTACTAATTAGAAATTCAAAAGTAAAAGTTGCAATACGTATATATACATATATATTAGATTTATTTCAATTTTTTTTTTTTTATTGTAAGTTTTTATTTTATGATCATCTATGGTGGAAAATATAACCGTTATCGTTATAGCGATGAACTATTTCTGTAGTAATTGTCATATTTATGTTGTAATTACAAGAGTATACGCCTCATACGTAGTTGTTATTGTGAACTATGGTTTTATGGTGGTAGGCATTAGCGACTGCACTACATATCTTAAGCCAATTCAAATAAACAACCCACGTATTGCTTGCACGGCACGAAATAACTAAGATCCACATGTCATATTAAAGTCACAAAAACGTAATAAGATTTAAACTATAACATTCCGTTTAAAGTTATTACGATTCTTTTAATAACAGTTGTATATTAATTTCTATAAAATCCTAGTGACAGCAGATGAAGTTTAGCGTATCCAGTTGAAGTAACAAGTATTCAAAAATAGTGCTTTCCATGAGGACCTAAAATGGGCTCTAGGTCCGTCTACGTGGTGCCACAGAAATTGTTGGTGATAACTGGTGAGTTTGCCACGATAAGTTAAAGCTAATCAACTCGCCCTATCATTAGGTAGACTTTATTACAATTACAATAGGTTCAGTTATGTATCTACACTTATTTGAATACAAGATCAATAAGAATAGACTAGATAATAATTGTTTTTATTATAATTTGTATATTTGTAGAGGCAATATTAAATAAAAACAATTATTTTCTACATCTATTTTGGTACTGCCCCCAAGTGCTTTATATATTTGATGTTGGTTAAAAATGATAATTAAGTTAATTAATTGAATTAAATAATTAATTATAAGATAGTTTATTCGTAATAGATTGTTTAGTACAGTATTATCGATTACGATGATCTTTTGTGATAAAACGTTAACTAATTAGGTAATTAGTTACATACACGTAAGATAGGAGCATTTATAACAGAGATAGATCTCACAAATATACATATGTATGTAGTATAATTTATTATGAAGTTGGTCACAGAGATATATTTAATATTTATCGGAGTGTCGTCGACCCCGACAC